AAGCTCAGTCAGGCCCAACAGAAGTACGCCGCGTATGACAGAGAGCTACTCGCGGCTTATCTGGCCACACTCCATTTTCGTGACATGATCGAAGGCCGCCACGTTACCCTGCGAACAGACCACAAGCCACTCGTGCGCGCTTTTCACAGCCCGCACACTGCTAAGTCTGACCGCCAACAGCGCCACTGGTGTGTCGTCACGGAATACATCACGGAGGTCTCGTACATTCGTGGCAGTGACAACGTGGTGGCGGACTGCCTCAGTCGCCCGGTAAATGCAGTGTCCCTCGATGCATGTGACCTCCATTTTATCGCGGCGGCTCAGAAACAGGAAAAGGAGAGAGACACCGACAGTGCCGATTCAGAGCACCAGGATTCCGAGTCAGGTCCAGGATCGCGCTCAAATCCACAGGACACCTCCCGATTGGAGCCAGTAACACTGTCTGGCGACATCACAGTCCTGTGTGAAAACACTGGACCACATCCACGCCCGTACGTACCAGAGGCGTGCAGGCGCGCCGTGTTTGATCGTTTCCACGGCCTGTCACACCCGGGTAGGAAAGGCACCACCCGTCTCATCAGCTCTCGCTATTTCTGGCATGATATGCGCCGTGACACTGCGCGATGGGTGAAGGAGTGTGAAGCATGCCAGGAAGCCAAGGTGCACAGGCACACTCGTTCTCCGCCCGGTCGATTTGATGTGCCCTCGCAGCGGTTCGAAACTGTACATATAGACATAGTCGGGCCGCTGCCCCCGTCAGTACCCCACGGGCACCCCTTCACCGCGCCATTTCGTTATTTGTTGACATGCATCGATCGCGCCACGCGTTGGGTCGAGGCCGTGCCGTTGGTCTCGATCACCGCGGAAAGTGTGGCCTCTGCTTTCCTCGACACTTGGGTGTCCCGGTTCGGAGTGCCACTGCATATAGTCACGGACCGCGGTTCCCAATTCGAATCAGAACTGTTTTCACACTTGTCTTCAATGATAGGTTTCCATCGCCTCCGAACCACTGCTTATCATCCGACGTGCAATGGAATGGTGGAACGGGTCCACCGAACGCTCAAAGCCGCGATCAGGGCGCGCAGGCAAGAGTGGCTGCGCGCGCTACCCGTCGTTTTGCTAGGTTTGAGAGCCATGCCAGCAGAGTCGGGTTTTTCGGCATTCACTGCCGTCACAGGCGCGCAGGTGCTGTTTCCCCGCTGCGCCGTCGAGAAGGTCCCCGTCGGGACAAAGTACGTCCAAGAACTGGCAAAACGTATGTCAGAAATCGATTTCGTCACACTCTCACAGGGCTCGAACCACGCCCGCACACCACCGACGCACGTGCCACCCGATCTCATGACATGCACACACGTGTGGGTACGCGTTGACCGCGTGCGGCACTCTCTGGAGTCCCCGTACCGCGGCCCCATGCGAGTCATCAGACGCAGCCCTAAAGTGTTCACGTTGGAGCTGCCGACTGGCGCCCACGACACTGTAAGCGTCGACAGACTCAAACCGGCACACATGCCGCCACCTGAGGACACGCTTGGTCCGAGCAGTACCGAGCCTGCGGCTCCGGAGCAGCAGCCGTCACCGTCGACCTCGCTCGGGCCCCTCGCCACTGGGGCGCCCGACGAGCCGACACAGACGCCGACGACTACAAGACCGTCCAGCAAGAGGACTTCAAGACCTGGAGTGACGTCTTCCGCATCGCCGGACGAGGACGACAAGCCGTCCGCGGCTGCGCCGGTGCACACCCGCAGCGGCCGCCGCGTGCACTTCCGGCCGCAACCGGACTTCCGATACTTTTGAGTGCGCCCGCGTACGTGCGTTCGAGGACGATCCTGATCGCGTGGCGCCGACAGTGAAGTGATAACTGCGTCGCGCGGTGTAGTGATTCTTGCGTCGCGCAGGACCGTGCAGTGACCATTGCGTTGCGCCGTACCGTGTAGTGATTATTGCGTCGCGCAGTGAAGTGTCGATCGCGTCGCGCACCGAGTGATGTGAAAAGTGATTGTTTTGGCTTATCGTGTATGCGCTCCGCGCTGAGGCGGTGAGTACTGTGGTAACCACGTGTGTCGCCGGCCGGCACGGGAGTTCCCGGCGCAGACCGATTCGCGCGCCGACTTGTGACGTCGCTACCCCGCCCCGGCGCTGGGGGGCGGCCCAGGACGTGTCTGTTCGTGAACTTTGTCCCATCACGAGGCGACCGCGTGTCTGCGGCCTGCGCTGCCGCAGTGCGTCGGCCAGTGACCAATCCGCGCTCCGATCGGCAGCCACGTGGTGTCCGAGTGCTTCTGCGCATGTCTGGACCCGGCCCGCTGCGTCGGGCCGCGCGCTACCCCGGGACTTCTGGCCGAGCTCTTGGCCCGAGCAGACGCGTCACGTCTGGCTCCGCGATTTGGCCCGTTCTGTCCGGGATTTATAACTTAGATTAGGCAGGGCATATTTGGCAAACTTGGATTTCATTCTCGTCTCTTCGTCGCTCAGTTGTCTGATTCCCTGTTTTGGTTTTTGACTTCGTTTTGGTAATTTAAATATAACAACCCGCTCTTTTAATTAATTCTTTTACTTGGGGCCGTTTGGATCGAACTGATTGAATTTTTGGAACACGCACCAGGTTGATATTTTCCATTTCTGATTAACGTAAAATCCAGTCACTGATATGTGGTGAACAGCCCCACAGCACCACAGCATCTTTGTTATCTACGTTGTTTGCGCCTGCAGTAATACTGTACCGCAATAACCATTATCTTTATCTTTCACCCATAGATGGCAGTAGCAAAGCGCCTGCATCTATGCTGTGCCGCAGTGCTCTTACAATACGAGCTGAGCAATGAGCATTGAGCAAGCAAGTGATATTGAAATCATAGGCGGCGGAACGAGGGGGGCACCGGAGCACCGTGTCCCCCTTTGATTTTGGCATTTTAACATAGCCCTTTCTATGCAACGCCCTATGGGCGTTGCATAGAAAAATGTCAAAAACTCTATTTTGAATGAGTCGATTTGGCGTCGATGATTTAAAATGTGTCTCATTTGAATTTTGAATGTGATTTGACAAAGATCCGTGATCGAAAATTTATCATTTCTGTATTTGACTTTTTGTAAAATATATCCTACATACAATTTCAAGGAGATTGTTCAGTATGTGTAGCTATGACGGGCACTATAACTTTTCCTAAGGTAAGGTCACTTGGACGTGACCTGATGACCTAACCTTGAGTGACCTAAGTCTGAAAATTACGCAGCATGTGTGAAAAAGATGTATGAAAAGGTGTGCCGAAAACGGCGGCGCTACACAACGCCGTTTTCGAGATATTTACATAAATCCACATAGGGTGTCCAAGCATCCCCACCGCCCGGCGCGGATAATTTTTTGCACGTGCAGAGCGCACCTTTGGGGGCCACCAGGAGATGGATATGCTCAATAACTATGCTGGAATACATTCTGGGTGGCCTGTGTAAATTTGACACTTTGAGCTTGCCAGCGCTACCCGCCCTACCCGCATATGTGACACCTGGAGTGCAACATCAAAAGGTTTGCACGTGCACAGCACGTGCACCGTGTACCCCAGCACGCTTGTTTGTACATCCCCTTAAAGGTAGTGTGCCAGCTTTCTTGGACCGTATGGAGTTAATGGCCCAGATAAGGAGAACCGGATTTTTAAAACTTATCCATACCTTCAAAACTCATGGAAACGTCTTAAATTCTTCAAATTTTGAGTACCCCAGTGCGAAATTCGCCCCGACGGGTTGTCGGTCGTACCCCAACCACATTTCACACCACTATGAACAATAAATGCACACACTGAAATCGCTATTACCGATATGCTCATCCAATCAAGTTTCGATAAACCCGTTCATCATCATCTCCTGCGGTTTCGAACACGCCTGTTAGGTGGCTTCTGATGCTCGTCGAGGTCGGAATTTCCAAATACGCGTGGTGCGTCGGGCCGCGCGCTCTGACTTCGGCCAAGAAAAATGCGTCAGCTGATCATTGTCATTTCTGCCACTTGCGTGTGGTGAAATGGGGTCATAACTTATAAGACGGCTTTTTCATATCAATTATTTTACATAAAATCATATTTCAAACCATAAATAATGTTCGACAGCCAAATAAAAGAAACAATACCAATACGGGCTTACAGTTTAAGGCTCGACATTGTGTTGTCTACGATTAGACAGCTGATAACTCATTCCCGTACGTCGTATGGTCGTAACACTATAATGACCTTTGCTTATTGTCACAAGTGCGCCGCATTCGCGATTGTTGCCCGACGCATGTTTGCAGGTGAGCCCACTACAGTTGTTATACATATCTAAAAACCGAAAAACTTTTAGGCGAAAAAGGCACTATTCCAGGCCCATTTTTGATTTTTTTTGCGATATTAGGTAAAAACAGAAGCTTCTTATCCTAGGAAAAATAAAATGGGAAATCTTTCAAAGGTGGCACACTACCTTTAAAGCGCGTGTCCAGTAGTGTCAGTGTGCCAAATTTGGTGTGCCTAGGTCAAGGTTTTCCGGAATCGGAGGATGCCTCCTCAAAACATGTTTTTCGCCACTAGCGCGTGCATTCCGCACCCCCTGATGCCGAGCATACCATATGTTAGTGGTCGAACACTGGGACATGTGACCTGTGAGTTTGGCACCTGTGCCGCCCTTCGTTTGATTTGAAGCGTCGCTTAAAGGTGTTTGCCCTTTGTAAGTTTGTCGGCACGTGGCACGCGCCATGTGACACCGGGTGACATGTGACATCCATCATCACCTGCCTCAAGGAATTACCCGTCGAACGGTACCACCAGCATCTCGATCCGATCATCCGTTTGGACGCAATTCTAATTGTATTGGCTCGATGACCTTCCAGAGCACGGTTTTTTGGCAACGTAAAATGGCGCCTTGTCGGCTTCACCTGAATGGAAGTGGTTGCGGGTCCAGTTTATTTATACGTCCGTGTCTATGGCTTATAAAATAAAAATTGAAGGCTTTCTTAGTGACTAAATTACTGGTTGTCCACTCACCCGCGCCATTTCGGACTTGTACGAGTCAAACGTCCCGTTCGATGAAGCCAGCTCCCGCTGAATGTTGTCGAACCGAGTCGAGTACGTCTCCAGTTCGGCCCTGAGCCGAGAGTCGGCGGCCTGGAGGGCCGTGTACTGCGCCCGCTGGGCACTCACCGCCTGGGGACAAGTCAGTGGGTTCTCAGCGGCCGAGATTAGCTCATATAATCGGACAAATAAATGCGTATTTCGATACACAATCGGTACATAACTCAGCGTCAGCGTGTAAGTAAATGTATCACATCACGGACCTCTAGGAGCTGTTGTTTCTCTTCAGCGAGCTGGCTCCGTTGATGTTTCATTTCGAGGTGGGCTTGAGCAAGCTGAGCCACAGACTGGCGGGTCTGGAGGTCACGCTGCTCCATCAGTGCCGCCGCCTCCTGGAACACGGCGTTAACACGGGTCAGTAGCGGCGCAAACAGCGGCACACACGGGTCAAGGGTCAGTAGCGGCGCAAACAGCGGCACACACGGGTCAAGGGTCAGTAGCGGCGCAAACAGCGGCACACACGGGTCAAGGGTCAGTGGCGGGCCGTGGCACACGGTGGTCAGTAGCAGCACACACAGCAGCACACAGTGGTCAGTAGCGACACACACAGCGGCACACAGGGGTCGCCAGCGGCACACACAGCGGCACACAGTGGTCAGTAGCGGCACACAGTGGTCAGTAGCGGCACACAGGGGTCAGTAGCGGCACACACAGCGGCACACAGTGGTCAGTAGCGGCACACCCAGCGGCACACAGTGGTCAGTAGCGGCACACAGGGGTCAGTAGCGGCACACACAGCGGCACACAGTGGTCAGTAGCGGCACACAGGGGTCGCTAGCGACAAGCACGGGCAGACAGGGTCAATGGTGACATACACAAACAGTCCTATCAATCCGCGGCACGTAGCTTTGATTTTCGTTAAATAACAAAACTCACGACAAAACGTAGGCAGAACGCATAAATTACACAAAAAACACACATCTCCAGAGACGCAGCATCCTGTTCAGTTATCTGTCGCGTACCTTGTTCTTCTGCTCGTACTTCTGGCAGAGCTCGGACAACTGACGAGCGATGCTGGCGTTCTCCTCCGTGAGCCGGGCGTTCTTCTGAGACCCGTCAGCCACGGCCCCCGCTATCTCAGAGAGCGTGCTCTGGAACTGCACAGAGGCCGTCCGGCGCTTCTCGCACTCCTCGCGTGCCCGAACCACACCCTCCTCCTGGGGAGGGAGGCGGAGGGGGAGTCACCGGCTTCATAGCGACGTGTGAAAGGGAAACAGGTAGTCACTCTTTACGAGCAGCCGGGTTTGGCGGCGCCCGTCAGTCCCCGTCCCGGCCCGGCGCGGCGGTGCGGTGCAGTACCTTGATGGCGCGGTTTTGCGCCTGCAGCTGCCGGCAGAGCGCCTCCAGCTGACTGCGGGTGAGCACGCTGCGCGCCTGCTCCGACTGCAGCGCCGACGACTCGCGCTGCAGCTGCTCCAGACGGTGGTTCAGCTTACGGACGGATGCCTGGCGATCAGACGCACAGACAGTCAGCTGCAGGCCGACACAGGCGTGATAGCCCTAGTCGATGGTGATAGTGGCTAGGATGTAAAGGTGCACTGCCAGCAGCTACTCTGACATCAGATAATATGTCAAGCAAGTGTTTGTAAAGCTGGCAGTGATGTGTGATGAACTGCAGCACCATCATAGCAATGCCTCCAAAACGTGTGTAGAAGAATAAACCTCTGCAAAATGATCACCTTGTGCTGTGTGCAACAGTGAGCTGTGAGCCTTGTGGTGTGCTTTAAGCTTAGCATTAAATAATTACCAGTGCAAAATGTAAATCTTCTGTGATACTGGTGCAGGCTGGTATATATTCAGCCCCTAGCTGGCCCAACTTATTGTCTCTGCTCATGCTGCCAAAGTATGCATCCTGGCACTGACCCGCAGGATGAAGACAGTGCTAGAGGGCAGTAGGCAATAGGCTACCGGCCAACGCCTTTACCTGCATGCGTTTATTGTCCTCCTGGTGTTCTGCATGCCGCCTGCAGAGCTCAGCCAGATGCTGCAGGTCTACCTCAGGGTCAGCAGAGGCTTTGAGCACCGATGGTGTCGGCATTCTTAACTGGGGACAGCAGGCGCACTGATTTGGTGAAGTCAAATCACTACTTCTACAAACAAAACCTGCTTATACAAAATTCTTATAGCCTTGGCTTAGGCATAGTTGGCAAAGATAACTTGTGTATAAGGAGTCTATCTATCAATCTGTATTATTAAAACCCTTGTACGGGCCTTGTACCTATTTGTATTTTGTTTTGTAGGTATTGAATCAACAACCCATATTTAAACTGTATTTAGGTATTGTTACAGAGCAAGTGAAGCCTTTCGTAGATTAACAGCAATTTCTGAGTATGAGCGGCAGGCCGGCGGCAGGCGGGATGTTTTTGCAAAGCTTATACATATCTCAGCAACCACTTGACCAATTTACTTGCGGTAATTATTGTAGGGTAGCTTTTTTATAAATTTAGTTCGAAAGTTTGAATAGACGGATTGACAGAGCCGGAACCCACGCCAAGTACAGCTTGTTGCGTGACCCCGATCCCTACCGTCCAATCGTGCAATTCCGGGTAACGAGAGAATTTAGATGCCAAAGTTTAACGTGCCCTTCAAAGCCGGACACAGCCTGTCCCACTCAACTGACTTCAACTGGCTGCGGCTGCTCCCACCAACCGCGGACCATCCCTGACCCCGTCAGCCGTCAGGAGTCTCAAATATCGAGCGACGGAGCGTCTCGAACCTGGGCTCTCACTACCGGGAGTCCAATGCTCTGCCAACTGAGCTACCGGACAGGCTCAGTTGGTAGCTTCATTCCTTTTCCAATTTCCAAGTATTGTATTGGACTATTCCCCATGCATGTGGGTGACCCCTTATGCAGGTGCCACATGCAAAACAAAGAGGTGTAAGTTTTGTAACAATTGCAATAACTTGGTAGGTAACTACTGGGCTGAATTGATTGGGCTGTAGGAAAGTAGGAATTTAGGTAGGCAACCACTTGGCAATGCATATCCATGTGCCACAGTTCAAGTTGGGGTGCTGCTGCGCATGTTCATGTGCAGGGGTTAATTCCAGATCTCAAGAAGGGCTGAACCTATTGCGCTGAAGTTTGGTACATGGTTAGGGACTGGTTAGTAATTGGTGCCATGCAAAAAAGTTAGGACGGATTTCGCGCATGCACACCACACGTGTAGGCTGCCGCTTCCAAATCTTGAAAACAGCTTGGCCGATTGCGCTCATTTTTTGACACATTGCTAGGGACCAGTTAGTAGGGCTAGGGTGCAAGTTAGTTGGAGGTACCCCCTCGCAATTTCGCACGTGCAAGGCCCACCCTTGCCCTCCCTTTGTCTCGCTCGCTCCGTTGCCGTTGGTCGCCCCAGAAAAGGCGTTTTACTGGTATTGTTATATACACTGTTTTCGCCTTTACTACACTACACTTTGATTTAAGCCGAAAGGCCGAGAACTTTAGCATTTATCCGACGACCTGTTGTTGTTGTTGTTGTTGTTGAAGAGTTAGGGCGCGCAGCAGCCGACGACCTGTCTTATTTATTCAAAATAACATTCAAAGTAACATGCAAACTTGATACAAACATCGGTGACATCGCGCATGTTACGAATGTCTCTCTTGCGCCAAAAACAGAAACTTTGGAAACTTTACTGAAAATGCTACCAAATGAAGTTAAACAGGGCTGTGTGAATTGTTCTTAATAAAGGTGAAACTTTGCAAGGCTTTGGCTTTACTTAAAGGCCTTGAATTTAGCTAGATAACTCTGGTTAATGAATACCGAAATCACTTATTAGTTATCACATCCAATATTTCAAGAAGATATGTAAATCCGTGTGAAATAAAGCACGAACTTTAATTTGAATGCCCAATAAAGGGATACGTTTTCTCAAGAGTTTCAGTAAAACTTCATCTCTAATATAAAGTATGTTTTATGTCGCTCCTCATGAAGCTTTTTTTACTTATTCAGAGGGAAAACTTTATAAAAAATATTTTTAGTACGGTTTGCCTTACTCTTGTTCTGGGCCGTTTTCTTACAGGCTTGCATTGCATACATGAGGGATCTTTCCAAATATTTCAAAGATATTTTGACAAAGAGCTCAGCATTTCTTCCATAGTACAACGTGAATTTTGTTTCGTGTACTTACTAAAGATTTTGTACATCTGACTCCGAGTGGTATAAGTCTGCATTGAAGTGAGTAAAACTGATGACTAAGGTGGAGTGCAATTTGGACTTGAATTTAAATTCAAATTGTGATTTGGTATGTTTTTTTTGCGTCGTAGGTGGCGGAACGGGGAGGGCACAGGTGTGAATAATAATGCACGATAATGAAAATGCCACATTCTCAAAAAGTTTCTTTATACTAATCAAATAAAGTCAAAATAAAGTGAAGTGTTCTGTAAAACTAGTAAAACATTTCCCTGGCACATGACTTACAGACTGCAATTATGGCCAAATGTATGGCAGCAGCTTGTTGGGAGGCTGCACTACCTAGCTGGATGGCAAGTCCTTGGTCCAAACCAGCATGAGCACCAGCCCTCATTGTCATCAAGACATCAAGCCTTGGCCCCCGATCATCCCCGGCCAACCAGAGGGCTGTTTGGGTCCCTGCAGCATAGATCTGTGCTGGATGTGTCATACTTGGGTGACGTCCGCCGCCTGGGTCTGCCCACTCTCTGCCGGCACGCCGCGGTTGAGCGTCACTGCAGCCTATTCCACCTGCGGTGAACCGTTGCACTGGTGGACTGGTGATTGTCACTCAAATAATGGTTGAATTGCGTTCAAATGTGGTTAATAACAATGTGCCACTGAAAAGAGTGATAAAGATACCCAAAAAATAGCATACAAACCGCTTACAATAGGAAATATTGGACGTTAATTTTCATCCGCGCCACTTTCGTCTCCTGCAGCACTGTATTTCCGGCTGCAGGAAAACGAAGTATGCTTCTGTAGGTGACGTCACACAGGCGATGATGCAGTGGTGTGGGCGGGACTAACGGGCGACGTGGCCCTCACTGTGCATGGGTGCTGCAGCAAATTTCATTTTGGCTGCGCAGCCGAACAGCCCTCAGGTTGAAAATATGAATTTTACGTTATTTGCGAAAAACCTTGGGGGGGGGGGTTGCATCAACCCCCGCCTCGCCGGGCGAGGGTTAACCAATTGACTTCCTCATTCATCCCCTAGGTCATTCATCCCCCAGGTCAGTTGGTTCGGTGACTCAAATTTAGCAGCCTCTCTCGGTCGGGATTGATGGATCCACCGCACCGTCCGCACCGATGTGCCGTATTTTCAAGACTGACTGTAGCACTGATACACTCCCACTCCCAGAGTTAGTCCCCTGCTAGAAAACGGTATTACGGTCAGGGAACCGTTTGTAAACGGCGAGCAGAAGTTCTCTGCTCGAATTTGTCCGGTGTGCCTCAAAAGTCAAAACTACAAGCACTTAGTCCCTGGTAGGCGCCCCTATCAAGCAAGAGTGGGTTTATAAGCGCCAGGGACTCCCATCCTCGCCCCTGTTCCTAATTCCCTCCCCGCATCCTCGCTATCTTGTCTATCCATTCGGATTCATCATTCATCTCATTCTCCATATGTTACTCACTTCATCGTACATGTTCAATGTTGTAAGTCTACACTACTTTTGTTGCTGCAAATCCCACAAAGACTATCTTCACTAGCAACAACTACATCCAAGCAGACGTACCATTCCAACCCTTACAATCGCACAATCCTATTCTGAATGTCTTATCTATCTACTGTCCGGGTTGGCACGTCTCTCTTCGACATGGTTTCCTGTCTCTAACAACCCTACTACCATCTGGGCAATGAGCAAGGAAACCTAACAGGTGAGTTCAACAAGTGAGTTTAGTCACCACATTCAAGCTCCTGCTGTACAACTGAGCACCTCCGACGACTAGGTTTGGCATCCCTGTGCCATCCTGTTACCCTGTACCACCGGAGACACAGAAGCGATATATTGACTGTCGACCGGTGCCGATTGCCGAATGCAGTGGTAACGGATCAATCCAGTAACCAGTTCAAGGCCCCACTGGATAGTAGACACTGGGGTGACACGATGTTCGACATCCCCAACCCACAAGAGCCCAGCTTGTATCCTGCTATGAGCTCGATTAGAGCGGGATCCCCAGGCCAAGTGCCCTATTCGTCCCCGTTGCTACAAAGGTACGGAAAGATCAGTGCACGTTTCTGAATTCTGTTTTATACGAATTCTAGCTCTTGTTCAAAGTGGGTGGGGTCGGATTTTCAGTCTGACTGGTGCGGGCTGGCGCCAATTTGTCAGATTTTGAATCAGTTGGCATCAGTGGTGTCTGTCTTACGTAGTCGTCGATGTCGAGCACCCCTAGGCGATGCTAATAAGTTGTCTACCCTTTTGTTTTTAAAAGGGCTAAAATGAAAGGGAATGTATCGCAAACTAGCTAGGAGGGCGCCAAAGACAACCGATAAATCGTTGAATGACCTTGTCGTAATGTGTCGTCAGATATGCCTCTGGTCAACCGTTTGGCCTAGAGGTCAAGACAATTTCGAAATTGCTGTTTTTGCAGTTGCCGCTTTTGCGATTTTTTTTTTTTCAAGTCGTGGCTGTGAGAACAAGTTTTATCCCTTCTCTTGCTATCTGGGTCCTCTCAATGATAAGCGAAAAATCATGTATCAACTATCATATGACTTGTAAGGTTTAAATCGGTAAATCTCAGGCCAAAGTGGACTTGACCAAAAAGGGGCATGTTCCATAACAGTTTAAGTGTCGATGGATAAAGATTGTAATGACTGAAAACATTGTGTTGTCCTGGCACATGCGTGCAATGGAGGAGGCATTTGTACTTGTCTGCAATAGCTGTTTTATGCCTAATGACGTAACGTTACACGCCTAGGCTTTGCCTGCACACATGGAGCGTGGCCTAAAATCTCTCCCTCTAAGGTGAATGTCAATAGCACTTTTCCCCAATCCCCAGCTCTCGTAACTTGTTATTGTTTCGTCATTTGCGACCATGTAATGGAATTTCCCCCTACTAATAAGTGTCCCTCTCTCTCTGTCTTTCAGACTCCTGGATGTGTATTTTCACTGAGGTAAGTGACCACATCTCTATCTTCGGACATTGAGCACTATGTGTATTGTATATGTTGTATAACCATGTGGAAAACCCAAAGACGGAAATGTCTACAACACACGTACATCATGCATACATGTACTGAGGCACTGCTCAGCGGACCGTCTGTCTAATTACCCACGTGTTGCTGTGTGCATGAGGCGCCGGCCCGGTTCGGGGGAGGCCGTGGGCGCGCCGTCACGTGCACAGGCAGCGGTGGGGCCGGCGCCGCTCATCCAGCAGAGGCCCTTCTCTTGAACACGCAGGTGTGGCTGACTTCACGGTGCTGCTGCTATAGGGAAAATGCAGGATGCAACATTTGTTCACAAAAGGTCAGCGGTGAATCATGTCGGCTTAGCCGATGAATACACTTTGCGTGAACAATATCCCGGAAGCTTCATCAACCAAGAGCCTTATGGTCTGCTTTTTTTTTTGGCTGGCATCGTCCCTAAGTGAAATCGGCCAGCTTCTGCGTACTAGAACTCCACATTCATTTACCCCCATTTGTTACCGCCTAATTCTTCAATGGCTATTGTTTGATGCTGCCATACGGCCAAAATGATTCACACAATATTTAACTTCCTTTTAGTCTGGTGAGGTGAATTGATGTGTATGTCTTAGACGTGCGCTACATATTCCGACCGCAAACTTCACAAAACCTAGTTTTCAAACTCAACTTTTCCGCAGACAGAATGGTCCGGCCGCCTATTCCTTTGACATCCATTGCTGATTTGTAGTTTCCGCCTTGTGGCGCCATCGGTATCAGATTCCCCAGACAATGACCATCGTAAGTCGACTTTTCTGTTTTATCGACGAACGTATAAGTGTAGAGTTGGGTCTACTTTTGAATTTAGTTTTGAAGTGCTAGACTTCTAAGTTGGCGTGTCCGCCCCCGTCAGCACCGGGCCTCTGGCTGGCCGCGCCACTGATAACAGGGCGCCGTTAGGTATGTGGCTCGCCACCTCATGACGACAAACGCCGTGGTGATGTGCTCACCCCTGCCGAGCTGTTTGTTTTCCGACACAGATGAACCCGGCGGTGACACGAAGCAGCTTGCACTGCTGCTGCGCGGCGCTTGCTCGGCAAGGGCGCACAGCGGCCGACCCGGGCTCATCTCAGAGACGGTCTGGCCGAGCGCTGCTCACTGCTCATTAGCTGGTATAATAATCTTAGTTACTCTTTGTATGCACATTAGAGCATGTCAGATGTCTGTTACAAATGACTCGCTGCCATTCGGTGCAAGAGTAGCTCAGCAGTGCCACGCTTATGCAGCTCAGTAAGTGACAAACTGTGATTCCACCTATCGTGACACAATGTGATATATGTACATCTGTTGTATAATAAGTTGTAAGAGCGCTGGTGAGGTGTTTTCAATCCGTTGAAATAGCTAATCATCAATTTATAACTCCTGGTTTGGAGGGCTTGGCCTTCACGGTTTGTGATTGTTTCGGAATACCCGTGAAATCGGTGCACCTTTGTTAGGTATATTTTCGCAGTAGG